GCTACATCTAATAGAATTTTAGGATGTCACATCCTTATATGACATTGGATGCTCCAGGAGATCCACCTAAGGCAACTCATGAGGAGATACTAGAGGAGGAGGAGGCTAGGGCATATCATGTTGTTTATTTTTTTCCTAGATGTCGATGTATCCATGATATTATGCATGTGAGTATTGAGAGATGAGTTTTTCTAGAAGGCCCTAAGGCGAGGAATATTGTAGATGTCATCTTTGATGAGGCACAGACGATACTGCAATACAGGATACAACATAGGAACAAGGGGTCTGGGTCCGACATACCCATTAATATATAGTATTTGTATTAGGGGAATTATTATTGTTTGTATTTTATTTTGACTTTATTATGGATTCTAATTTATTCATTTATATGTTATTTTCATATTATTTGATAAGTGTGTGGTTTAATTTATATAAAATTTAATATAACGGTATAGCTATAATACATCATCAATTACATCACTATATCTCTAAAATAAAGTCAAAATTTAATGTTTGGTATGAATACGGAAATTCATTTTCGCTTTTTTCTGGGGTGAATATGGAGATACATCTTCGAATCAATTTATGTCAATATAAATGTATCTCAGTAAGAAATGTATGGGTGCGTATAGAGTGAATTTGAATATGCATTTTTTAGTTCAATTTTAGAAATAAAAAAAATATGAAATGAGACTCACTTAAGACGTGTTTTGGTGTGAAAAAAGTGTGTCAAAAATCTACTTCTGAAATCTACGGGGAAATTATGAATTTCGTTTTTTCCCCACTTGCTATGTGTGGGAAATAAGCAACTCCCAATAAAAATTAACAACTTTTGGATGGATGTTATTGTTAGTGGGCTAAATAGTTATTTTTGCTTGTGGTGAGAGACTCTTAGGAGTGTCAAGGATAAGTGGATTTCTTAACCCACCCCATAGTTTTCTAGCGCACCATGCAAAAATACAAAAATGTCTCTGGAAACCGAAAATGTATTTCCGGTACGCACCCATACCTGGATTTTTGTGAAAAGAGGCCCTATGTAATAGTTGAGAAATAACCGAAAATACAACTATGATTGGAACTGTAATTGTATTTCCGGAAGCACCCCAAATACACACAAGTCTTAAGTCTGAGAAACACAAGTTAACAAGAAGATACGAATTGGAAGTGCATTTATGGTTCCTCCTGTAGTATTTCGGTTTGTGTTAACACTTAAATGCACACTACCTCTTCCCCTTCCTTATTTTCAGAAACATTTTGAAAACAATAACACTCAACAACCAAAAACCCAACCCTCACAAACCCCATTGTATCAAAATCAATCCATTTCACGAAATGCTCGTCAAGAATCGTCAAGTATCATATAAACTTCAATGTCAAGAAGAATCAAGCAAGAAAAATTACTATTTGTAAGTTGTTTTTGAGCTTTTTGGAGTTTATGTAATTTCACCTGCAACTTGTGTTTAGGGTAGAAAATTCAAGTTATTTTTAGTGTTTGCAATGTAAGGAGTCATAAGAAACATGATAGATACGTACTTTTTACGATCAATGACTGTTTTTTTTATGTCATTGGAGTTGCGCTTCGACATTGACGAAGTTGTAATGTTGCAGATTGTACCGAAAATGCATTTCCGATTTTCATTAAGTTTAGTCAAAAACCGAAAATGCATATTCGGTTTTAGTTAATTTTCATTTTTCCTTTTTTTTAGCCTGGGTCTTATTGTTGATGTTTATTTTGTTCTTCTATGGGAGTAATGGCTGAGAGAACTTTCAGGTTGAGGCACGGCAGACTTGCACAACATGCTTTTGTGCAGAGGGAAATGAGTCAGGCATGCTAGGCTCTTTCTACCTCTGGACATGTTGTGTCGGGTGCGCTTACAACCTTCGATGTCCATGTTTCTACACCTACTTCACTGTCCTCCTCCCGCAACAAGTGAGGTTCTCTAGTTCATCCCTCTCAGTCTTCGTCCTCCCGTAGATGCACTTCCTCTCTGATGGTATTTGAGGCAAGAGAGACATCTAGTTCCCAGCCGACACCGGAGGTCACACAGTCACAGCCTACATCACAGCCTCTGGTATCCCACGCAGTTGAGCCGACACCTGAGGATTTTGGAGGAGGGCCTTCTAATTTATCATTGTTGCCTTTGTACCTGGACCATGTTACTAGACATATCTGGAACGAAGAGGTATAAATTTTGAATTGTTTATTCTACTAATTTTTGTTCAATTTATTTTATTATTATTTTATGTTGAATGAATTTTTTTAAACCATGTATACATGAACGTGATCTGCTGAAAATCATTAATCATGCGCGGCAGATCACTAGACTCGTAGCTCGCTCTAACCCATGTTTAATGAGCCCTTGGTGCTTTCAGGGTTGAAAGACTTGACCCTATGTGGATATACTACTGTTAATCATGGAATGATTAACATTTTATTGAGAGGTGGCACCATGAGACGTCATTGTTCCATCTACCACATGGTGAGATGACGATCACCCTGGACGACGTCACATGTTTGTTGCATCTTCCGATAAGAGGGAAGTTTTTAGACCACGAGGGGTGCGACAAAGAGGAGTCGTTGAAGTTGTTGGTAGAGAGATTGAGAGTTACCCCCGAGAGTGTTATGGCTAAGATGGACTCCACCAGGGGTGCTCATGTAAGGTTTAGTTATTTGAAGAACGTGTTCACGGTTGAGCTACAACATTCACGATAGGCTGATGGTGATCCCTAGCAGTTTACCCACCACCAGAGGTGTTCTATGGAGCATATCTTATGTATCTTATTGGCACATCCATTTTTTGGACACTAGTGCCACTTACATTAATGCCATGTACCTGGGGTACTTTGACGATTTTAGGCAGATCCATGAGTGGAACTGGGGGCTGCTTGTTTGGTGTACTTGTACCATAAGCTGTCAGAAGCCTGCAAGTGAAAGACGAAGCAGATGACCGGGAGTATCACACTCTTGACAGTATAATATATTGGTCTTATATTGTTTATATATCATTTTGTTAATTGTTGTGATAATCGTTACAAACTCATAATTATTGTAATTTCAAGCTTGGATCCTACAACACTTCCCCGCATCTCAAATTGGTCACTTGCCTCGAGTTATAGTGAAGAAAGGTCGTGTGTCGATGTATTCGACCCACTCCGAGGGAACGAGGCGACAGAGTTGTTCCGAATGTATATTGACTGGTTGGTGTTTGAGGATATACACTTCCATACCTACGTCTAGAGCTGTCAAAATGGGTCTGTCCTATAAGCTCAATAATTTAGCGTAGGCCTAGCCTCAAAATACCTTAAAAACACGACCATGTCTTTTTGGCCCATCACATCAGGCCTATGCTTTTCATGTGTCGGTCGGACCAAGCGGGCTTCGGGCTGGCCCATTAAAAAAATATTTTGGTAAATTTTGAGGAAAAAAAGATTGAGATAAGATATGATTGCATAATGTGTTTTCAAGTGATAAAGAAAAGTTAAAGAGGATGAAGATATATTTTCAAGATGATGTGATCAAGAAAAAGATTATGAGGTGAAGAGAAAATTTGATAAGTATTAGTGATAATATTAAGTTACTTTGTACTTTTACATGAATGTTATTGTGGTATTCATATATATATATATATATATATGTTGATTTGATGAATATAAACATCGCTTAACTAAGTTTATGATGACTCTCTACTTATGTTATGTAGCTTTTATCCATTACATCCCTTTTTATAAAATTAAAACTATAATATTGAAATACGGGTCGGACTGGTCCATCGGGCTTCGTGGGCCTTTGAAAAATGGGTCGGACTCATTTTATGTAGCCCATAAGCAATTGGGACGGGTCGGTCAGCCCATTTAAACATTTTTGCCCACCAAGCCGAAGAGGACTGGGTCGGGCCGACCAATTTTACAGCTCTACCTACATCGACCACAGTGCCATTATTCCATTTGACGATGTTACACTTTATTCTGGATGGTTGGCTTGCGGGTCGCGCAATACGACTGCTCATCTGCCTGAGCGCGTCATGCGTCAGTTCGGATACATGCAGTATATTCTCCGAAATCATATTGTGTCTGTTTCTCCCTTTGTGAAACGGAGGAATGTGGATGCTTTTATGTTAATCATCTTGTGTCAAATGAGGTCCGAAGTACCTTAGCACCAGACGAACTGAGTTATGTGAACGATTATATCATATAGTTCTTCAAGGTGTCCCATCTATATCTTATACAAGATGTTCAAGGAAATCCACCAAGACCAACTCATTAGGAGATTCTATAGGAGGATCAAGTACAGGACAATCATGTCATTGATGTGTTGCCTAAGTGTCGTCATATCATGGAGATTGCACAGGTGAGTATTAGTCGGGATTTATTTCCTAATGACTTTGATGTTAGAGGTTCCATCCCATAATTACATTTCTAGTTTTAACTAATATTCAATAAATAAAAAATACCTCCCAAAAATACATTTCCGATTAGAGGAACATTTTCAAAATTACCATGTTTTTCAATCCACTCAATCTTATGAGATGGGGTAAGAAATCCTCAAGGATAATTAGTTAATAATTATGAGTAAAAAATTGACTTGCACCATATAAAATTTTGGCGTTATCTATTGTTATTAATTCGTTTAATTGTCACATACTTTTTTGAAAATTGAGGTAAAAATAAAGCCTAAAGGCAACATGCATATTTAACTACCTATGATTTGATACAATGCTGTGACCTGTTATCAACTCTCACGTATGTAGAAAACATCAAACAGAATTAGGCTCAAATGATTGCTTGGTTGACACGTCCATGGAGGTAGGGAGGCAGAATATTATATACCCCAAGATATGATATGATGATATTCTTAATTGATTACACAAGACTGATTTTGGAAGACTGGGTTAAAAATGAAAGAAAAAGAAATCACTTCCAATATGGAACATTTGAAACTTATTTCAAATAATAGTGTTTCACAAGAGCAATTGATACAACATACTATATTGCAACAAAGATCAAAATCGACCGTAAGAATTAGGACTTATGAGTGACTCTTCGAGTTCTTTAAAGCCGCGGTAAACCACTTCTGTTTGGCTCTGCGGAAGGGCTAACCTCCGTACTTCAGTCATATACCTGTAAGTAAATGTTAATCAGAGTAAAACTTAACATTGGTCTAAAGCTAAACAATGGAAAATGAAAACATTTGTTTTTGTTATTTCTTATGCAAACTTTGAAAATATAAAACAATGGGAATATACATAAAATTATAAGGAGGTTAACCTGTTTGCCACACTTGTGATCTTGTCCCGAATTCCTTGGCTAGCAACTGTTCGTTCCAATGAGAATCCACCACCTAATATTATGGAAGAACCAGTGGCACCTGTACCCATCCTGTGTGAATAAATAGACATAGCCCACTCTCGAAGTACCACTAGAACTGATCTCAGCATCCGTAATCTAAGATTTGGGGATGGCAAAATTGCCCCATTTGATAACAATTGATCATATGCGTTCAAGACAGGTTCTGCTGCACCCTTACAAGCAGAAACAAGCGCTCTCGCAACATCTTCATCTCCAACGGTTTCGACTCCTGAATTTAATCTCTCCTATAAAAAGACATGCATTCATGAGTATAACAGAGATATAAAAATTATAAAGCAGCAACAGACAATATAAATTGTCAGCAAAATTGAGAATATACCAGTCCAGCCTTCTCCAGGTGAAGACAAATAATGTCAAGCTGCAAAACAGTTCCATCACCGGGATATAGTCGAGGCCCAACTCTCTTAAGCACTGAGCAAGCTTCAGCAATGCCGCCTCTTGAAATAGCTTGATCTATAAGTCTAGCCCATGTCTCTCTGACAATACTGCTGTCACTATCACCCGAATAATTGGCAAAGTACAGCATCTCCAGGCATGCCTGAAAGAAAAATAAGAAATGAAGAATGTAACACGAGATTGGATAAGTTTCAGAACTTCATTTTGTAATGACAATGTTATCAACAAGAACAATACATAACTAAGAACAGCCAAGCAAAACAGTGGCAGATACTACACAATATGTAATGCTTCACTTGGTTTGACGACAGAAAAGGTAAATTATGTCACAAAAAAAAAGGTAAACGATTTGACAAAACAGGAAATGAGTTGCAAATTTATGATGAGTACTGCAACTGCAAATTCCTATTTTTCGCTCTGAAAAAACTAACCAAACAATGCAACCAATTCTTTCCCTCAACTAAACAATACATGAAAGTAAATAACTAGGGATAATTCTAGATGCTAAAGCTCAAAAGACTCTGAAGGACACCTAATAATTGTTCACTATCAAACAATGTGAAGAACCAGATGAGAAATATCTCAAGTTGCACAAATCTACACACACACAGCCAGAAAGAGAAAGAAGTACCTCCCAGAGCTTAAAGGGAACAGCGTATTCATTATATAACTGAGTTATGCTCTTCAAATCTGATGATAACTCCTTGGCTTTCTCCCGTGTTACATTGCCATCGATAGTTGAACTGGCCTCAGGGACAATACCATTTTCAACAGAATTGGATGTGCTCTGTAAGACCTCTGAACTGGAAGCCATAGCCTCTAGTTCCTCTTTTATTTTTATCTGAAACCGAAGAACAGCAAGCTTCCCTTCAATCATATCTAGTAATCCAGTGTCGCTGGAACTTCGAGTAGAACTAATCAACATATCACTATTAGTTGCATTCTTTGCCTGTAGAACTGCATTGCTTAGGTATTGACACCTAAATAATACAAAGCAAAAAAACTATGAGAAGATGTCCATGTGAGCAAACTAAAACTATTCATCAGACAATCTGAAATTCTAGAGAACCCTGTAGAGGACTTATGCGGAAAAGGGGTATCAATGAAAGGCGTGTAAAATGCAGAATTTTGCACTAGAACAGGTATAAGCTTATACTTGTCAATGCATTTGTCATCGAAAACACATAACAAGCAATGCTCATTTGAAAACACATAACAGGCAATGCTCATTTGAAAACACATAACAAGCGATGCTCATTTGAAAACACATAACAAGCAATGCTCATTTGAAAACTAAGAGTACATAAGGATTCAGGAATCAATTTACATGTTCTATATGGCTAGATCAAGTGTCAGCTTTAGCATCTTTTACAAGTGTTGTTGAAATAACAGCACATAAATCCATCTAGAATATAAGTGGCGAAAAAACTCCAGCTTCAATCCTGATTAACATGATTGAAATAAGATTTCTTTCTTGAAATAAAAGACTTCAAGGTTCTCTTTTTCTTTAGTAAATGTATTTTAAGATATACATCCATTTTTTATTATAGTTGAGAGCACACTAACTCATTCGCTAAAGCTAATTCGAGGGGGGGGATTGTTCTAATACAAGGAATACTTTTGACTATTAACAGTTTTATGCATGATGCCATTCATTATTTGGCAAAAAGTTCAGCTTGACATCATAAACTGAATTCACATTCAAAAGATGAGATCCAACTATGGTGAATGTATTCACTAATGTGATCTATCCCGATGAGTTTTGCAGCAATCAAGCAACAAACTCTTTAGAAATACAAAAGGAATGACAAGGAGTGAGTAACTGATTGACCTTTGTTCAAGAGCAGGAACTCCTTCAGTTGAAGGTCTTCCAGCTAGTCTTAGCAATGCATGAGCAGCAAGCATATGTTGTCGCTTCAAGACATAATAACGTGCCAAAAGTTCATAGTACTTGACTTGATTAGAGGACATAGGTGCTCCTGATTGGCCCATTGGAGAAGTTGTTGCAGTCACAGCACGAACCTAGCAGATAGGGAAAACAAAAGAAGGTCATAAAAATAATTAGCAAGAAACAGTTTTTCTAAGAAATGTTGTGAAAAGTATGGATAGTGCGTAGTTTCTGCATGCAAAATGTATACAACTAAATCAAAAGCACAATACTTATGCTTTTGACCAAGTGAACATTAGGCCACCAACAAATTATTGGACAGAAAAGGATAATAAGTAACCTCGTGTATGGGTTTACGACCAGCACTTTGCAAAAATGACAACAGGTCAGGGCCTCCATACTCTAACAGTTCATTCTCAAGGCCTAAATCGATCATAGCCTGGTAAAGATACTCATGGAAAATTCTGTCCGGAGATTGGACACCCAGCTGAACAATTTGGCTTATATACTTTTTCCGAGAGGCTGGATCAAGTGCAGATTGTGAAGCAGATCTAATGGGAGAGCTAAATTCCTTTCGCAAGGTGTCACTGTCACCTTGAAGAGAGCGCAAAGCGCTGATAATTATCTCATAACACTGCTCACGCTGAGCAAGTGCTTGTTCTCTGACTGTTGCATCAATTTCATCATTATAAGCATCACCTGCGGGGTCGATAGCCTGTGCCTTTTGAAGAGGTAAGGACACAACAGCTTCGTAAAACCTGCAATTGGAAAGTGTATTTGACGTCGAGATTGAAGGCAAGCTGGCTAATCATAGGCTATGGAAACAAATGATGATACATGACATAGAAAAGGAAAAGGGCTGTGAAAGAAAATATAAACCTTAAATCCTCAAAACGTTTGCAAACAGTGCGTAAGTCCGCAGACTCTGGAACTTTGCTTAAGGAATTCAATGCCTCACGCGCGAGAGTCTCCTTTTCCTCATCATCTATAGTCACAGCAGCTCTCTCCAGGGCTTCCACGGCTAAGAAAAATTTGTAATCGGACTCCTTGTAGTAGCTTGGACAACCCTCTCTTAATCTCTTACTAATGTCATCTACAGTTCCCCTGCCATCTGTACCAGTGTAATACTGGAGCAATGCAACATAGTTATGAAAACTTATCATGTAAGTTCCTAAAGTTAATTCAAGAAAAGAATTTACATTGATGTGTAAACTTTTTTGTATATAAAATTCCTTTCATGGATTGCCTAAATAATAGTTTACCTCCATTAGAGCAGATATAAGCCTTGTAGCAAGACGGTCGCCGTCCTCGGAACAAACAAGTTGATGAAATGTTAACTGAACTAAGGCTTGTTGAAGGTTAGTATCAAATCCTTGAACCAGGCGAGTGACGTGATGCTGAGAGAGGAGTTGAAGCAAAAAGAGAGCTTCACCGGACCTAAGGAGCAGCTGCCTAATGCACTCCATTGCCCTCACCTGTGGCACAGCAAACAGAAGTGAGAAATTAAACTAGTAGCTTTAAAAACAACACCGGTGCGAACATTTAACAATATAGGCCCACCTCCATGGCTGCTAATTCTGCAGGACTATATGGTAACCTTTGCCTTTTATTTGTGGCTCCACCACCATTGGATTCCATATTTCTGGAATATGCACCAAACAAGTTTCTTACCATACTTCGGTCACCAGCACCCAATGCAGAACCACTACCATACAGAATGGAACCACTAACATCTCCTAAACCTGCTACACAGCCATAAAGTCCCCTCCTCTGGTTCCTTCTAGATCTTAAGAATTTCTCTAAAGATCGAAGTTTGTGTTCAAGGACTTGCATAGCCTCAATGGATAGTCTGCATACAACTACCCCATTTTCAAATGAAGTGCCTGAAGCACCTGCACTTCTTTTTATAACCATCACAGGTAGTTCCCATAGAGGATAGAGTAATCTAGATGAACACAAACAGAGCCCTTCATGTGCACCTGAAAAAACAGGCTCGGCCTCCTGAACAACCTGACCCATGCTAAATCCACCACCACCAGTTCTTGTGTTTGATAATGCATTACTGCCTTCAAGTTGTGGCATGCCAACAAGTCTTGGGTCCTCAAAAGCTTCAGCTGCCTTCTCAGCAATAACATTGCTGATAAAGTTTTCAGAATGCACTATCCTTGCAGCTAGCATTAAACACATTGCAGCTGCCTCACCGGCACCAAAACGATTGAAGAAATCTTCTAAAACTGATCTCGGAAAGTTGGACTCTAATAGCCGCCTTAAAATGTCTAGTGGCCTGTTAAAAACAATTTCCATCATGCCCATGGTGCTGAAGATGACAATCCTCCTCCTTGGCAATATATGTTGGGTTGAGAGATCCCCCCTTGCCCACAGTTTGCCCGACGCCCTTTCACACGATTCCAATGAGCTCTCAAAAACACCAAACTCGATTTCTGAATATAGAGACTGCACAGTAGCTGAAGTATCTGGTAGAGGTAAAACATCGACCACAGAAAGCATTCGACCTTCAACTGGTAAAGAAGATACGGATTCCCGTAGTGCCCGGGAGTTCCTCGTACCTGTCCCAAGATTACCCGATGGTGATGACTGTGTGCTTGAATCCCTGTTTAAAACAAGGAGTGAAGGCATAGTAGGAGGTGAGGCATCAGAAAGAATAAGAGTTCCTGCAGAATAATAGGCTGCCTCAACTTTCAGTGAGAGATCCTCATTTTGTGGTCTACCAGCAAGAGCCATAGTTCCAAACGTGAGGCCGCCACTAACACCCCAAGGAGGAGCAGGCCTTGTTGTGACAACCTTTAAACAGCTAGGTTTGTGATGGTTCGTGTTGAATCCGTTCAAGCTTCCGCTAGTTGGAGAGGTGGATAGGTACATCCTTCTGCCATCTGATAAAACAGCAACAAGATGTAGCCATTTGGATTCAAGTGTAGATAAGGGTGAAATGCTAACAATAGATGGCTTCGGTGATCGACTTGATGCTCTTGATCCACTTGATTGTCTGCTTCCATGATGTGCATCTTTCTGATTGACAAGATTCCTTTCTTCAGCCACTTTCTTTAAGGGTCCATCACCAATTGGTCCAAGAACATAAACCTGAATTTTCATCTCTTCCGTTCTAGCATACAATATCTGTCGCTCATTGTCAAAAACCATTTCAACAACAGGGTCAACAGCTCCAAAATTAAATACATTTGGTATGACCCATCTGCAAATAACAGCTAAGATGGGTTACTAAGGAATTAACAAATGAACACTTATATGCAAAATTGAGGTGAGTATATGAATATGTGTGCCCACTGTGTGCACGCACTTAGATATCATTTACAAAATAAACATAATTCTGAGATTATAAAAATGAAAAATGAGTAATGCAGATAGTAATATTATACCACGAATATGAAAAAAGCACGAAGTACCTTGAAATTACACTTCCTAGACCAGCAGTGACGCATACTTTTCTGCAGCGCTTTTGCCATCCTGAGCCAGTTGAATAAAGAAGCTCATATATGTGGCCATCGCGGCCAGCAAAGAAAATGCGGCCCTTGTCAGTACATGCTACACATGTCATCGTAACCCCGTCAGACGATATTGTATAATCTGGCAAAGGCTGTAACGAAACTTCTGCAAATGGATCTGAGCCATCTGCTCCTCCAGAGCAGCACACTCCAACTAAAACTAACTGAGAAAAAGAATTGGGTAAGAAACAATACTGCCTCCCCATGGAAGTCTGAAAAGAACATACTGCACTGGTTCATAGAAAACTTGTTATTCTTTAACTGATGGATAAAAGGATCTCATAACATGTTATTATAGAAATCTTATAGCAGCATGTAGTGAACAACGAACAAAATCACCACACAAAAGTATTAAAATCTTGGGAAATAATTATTTTCAACTACAGAAAAATACCAATATGCTGTTGGATTTTCTATTTCGGGTGATTCTTTAAAGGACGTAAACAAGACTCAAAGACCTTGTTAAGTTTATAATTGTTAAGAGTCCCCCATCGTCCAGATGTTCAGTCCTAGACGTGAACATGTCCTTATAAGTGGGGGTAATCCTCGCCCTACAAGCCAATTTTGTAAGGATGAGTTAGGCCCAACCACATTACTTAACAATAATATTATTTTTGTCGGGTTTGTCTAATATCCCAAAAAGGGTTTTGAGAATAAAGGTGAACACTAATCACTTTTAGCAAAAAAAATAATTTTCTAGTAATAAAAAAAGGGGGAAAAGATGTAGTATTTTAATAAAATTTACTAAATTGGACTATTTTGTAGGGGTCCATAATAGACAGAACCTAGTTTATGTACTCTATTTATCTTCTGGAGAATTTATCATAATCCTAATTATTTCATTCGATATCTTGATTCATTTATAAAGAAAAACAAAGTAAACCATTTATATGCCGCAGTCATGCTTGAATAATTCTGTAGAGAAAACAGTAACCTTAACATGAGCTAAATCATCCTCCCTTTCTAAAGTGCACTTGGTACCTATGCTATTAACGTGTAAAAGCAACCAGGTATCAATCTCCTGTACCCAAAATGACCCCATAATAGAGCCATAATTATATCCAATTTTTTAACACAAAACCATGTACTGAAACAAAAAAATGAGGGCATGAATAAGTCCAAAAGGAGACTAACCAAACTACTTGTGATATTTATCACTGCTATTGAAAAACTTTAGGGAAAGTAGCAATCCTTCCTTAGCTTAATTCCAACCAAAGTGCTATTCAACCACAAAGAGAACCACATAAAAACAGGTTGATAGATTAATATTATCTATCACCAGTTCAGACAATAAACAATAAGGCCTTCTATCACTAGGTGGAGTCAGCTACATGAATTGATTCAAGTCATAAAATCCTATCATGTATTTGGTCCAGAAAGACTATGTTTAAATCTCTAACTAGTTTGGTCTATAAATTTCATTGATCTCCCCTCTACCTCTAATTATGGACTATTCTACATCTGTATACTCTTTTTACAAGTGATTCTACATGTCTTCTTCATGCATGTCCAACACATTGGGCTTGATGCGAGGATAATATGGCGGATGGCCCTAACCAATACGATCTGACACCATATTAGGCTTTTATATTGAGATTAATTAGTCCTTACAAAATTGGCTTGTAAGGTAAGGGGTGTTGCGTTCTATAAAATTATTTTTGTCTTTTCTTTTTTCAATGTGAGACTTTAATTCCCAATACAAACTAACACAAATGATGTTGCTCAGGTACAAAATAAGCAATTAACTGCATAACACAAAGAACAACTTCCGAAGCACAATATTTTAGTACAGAAGCCCTTAGAAGAGTATTAAAAAAATAAATGGTCAATACCTCAACCGGGGTTGCTAAGATTAAAAGATACTGGATAGCTTCGATGAAAACTCCTGGTTTTGATTTTGCAAGACTGACAGCACAAATGGCTTGTTCCTCTTTGCTATATTCGGGACACTGGCCATCCCTAAGGAAGCAGTAATGTTTGATTAGAAGTACTACAGACCATTGAAAAGATAATAATAAACAGCAGGATTATAATTAGGGGGGGGGGGGGGGGGGGGGGGGGGGGGTGGGGGGGGAGAGTTTTTCTTGGACTGCTTGAACTGCCAAATAAATAAAAAGTAGGAGCCAGCTAAAAAGATGAACACGCCATTGATTCAAGAGTGCGAAGGGGGCGTGTCCAGCCTCATCCTGTAAAACACATCACCACAGTACTTACCACTTATCAAAACGCCAAAGAAACAAGGTGTTGTCCACAGAAGCCCATGCCCTACGTATTTCCGGAAATATTCCACAAAAAGCAGTCCCTTCCCCACCGGCCGCTCTGTACCTTTCAATAAGAACGGGAGGCAACTCCCATGTATTCGCTACCTCAACTAAAGGAGGCCACTGAAACAACAACAATATGAAATCAGACAGAGAATAGATATAAAAAAACTGAACCACTACCACACATTTGTATGTTTAGTTTCACTTTTGGATGACCCAAAATTAATTATGACATATTTGGTTGCTCTCAAGTAGAATTGAGTTTGCCTCTAAAATTGAAGCTTTTGATTCTATAATTAATTTTTCCACCCAAATAACAATTACATAGAAATGGATGTATTTCACTTACACATGAATCTACTCACTTTTAATCATAATCAATTTCATAATTCACTAAAACCAATTTGGTTACCACATAACCTCACACACACTAAAACCAATTAATTTATTCTATAATTCACTTATACATGAATCTACTCAAACATAAATCACTTTTCCCCTCAACTCACTTTTAATCATAATCAATTCTATAATAAATCTTTTCATCCAAAACAAAAAAAAACACTCTCTCCATGAACCCACTTTTAGCCATAATCAATTCACTAAAATCAAATTTGGTCACCACATAACCTAACACACACTAACAATTCTAAAAACACACCCTATTTAACCTGGAATACATATTATTCTAACAATACTAGTTTATCCCTCTCCCCAGTAATGAACTCAAACTACCTCTACACTAACAAATTGGAGAATGAAAGTAGAATCATATGAAAAAAATACATTGAAATCTAAAAACAACAATTAGAATGGTTGAAATTGAAGAACCCGAAACCTCTCTAGGGTGAGTAGAATAAGGGTGGCTAGCATATCTGGAAGCTTCTAGAGCTTCTTCAAGGTCAAGCTGCGACGAAACTTCACGGCCAATTCGATCACTGACAACAAGACCGGCATTGGTGACATCGCGAATCACAACCTCGTCTTCCCACGACATTCCACCGCCGACCGGAGAACTGGAATTGAAGTCTAGAGAGAGTGAACGGCGAAGTAGGGTTTTGAGGTGGGTTTCGTAATTTGAGAGTGGCGGGCAAAATTTCTGGGTATCGAAATAAAAAAGTACTAGTACTGAAAAGTAAAATAATAATATAAAAAAATATTGTTAATTCAAATTTTCGTTTCAAATAATAGCGTGAGATTTCAGTCAAAATCAGAAAATAATGGATTGAGATTGCTAGATTGGACTCAGTTGTAACTTTGTAAGTGTCAAACTAGTACTAGTAATACTAATTTTTTTATCTTTATTGCTTGGAAAGGTAAAAATATGGTTCTATTAACGTTTATTTATTTAGAAAAAATATATTATTTATTTATTTGTGCTTTTTTTAAATGAGAAAGAAAATAAAAGAAAAAAAGCAAAAAATAAAAATAAAGTAATCGTCTAATATTTTGCTACAAGGGTTTTTTTTTACCTTGAATGAAGAGCATTCAATATTCATATTCTAATGTAGAAAACAAATTAGAATGATATGTTCCTAACCAAACCTCTAAAATATGGTTTTTATGGGTTTGTAAGAGGGTTGGCATTTATTAAGAACCATAGTCTCCATGTCTATATGTTTTCGCGAGATATTAAGAAAAGATCTAGGGACATGAGTTGAACAAAAATAGGTTTCTATGTTATTTGAAATTGTCTCTATAAGTCAAATAGATTAAATTTGTCACATATATAATTAGTTATGGGATTTCATATAGATTTTGTAAATAGATATGTTAATTGATCATTAGAGTTGATAAAATTTGTAACGACGTCGTCTAATTCAATATTCTCTCTGACAAAGTGATAATTTATCTCAATATATTTGGTCCTCTCATATAAGACTAGAGTTGAAATAATGTGCAAATATAGTTTGATTATCACAAACAATTGTTATTGGTCTTGCTTCTTCAATTTAAAGTTCTTTGAGCAATTGTTTTAACCAAATGAGTTTGCATGTTGCCATTGTCATGGCCTTATACTATGCATTGGCACTTGATCTTGCAACTACATTTTATTTCTTATTTTTCTAAGATATAAGGTTTCCTCTAACAAGTACGTAATACCCTTAGGTGGTTCGTCTATCAATGAGTGACACTACTCAATGAGCATTGGAGTATCCAACTATCTGAATTTGTCATTTATCTTCATACACTATGTCTTTTCCTATAGTACATTTGATGTATCTCATAATTCGGACAACATCATTTGTGTGTTCTTGGCAAGGAGAATTTAAGAATTGGCTTACCACATTAACTGCGAAAGAGGTGTCTGAACGAGTGACTGTGAGATAATTTAGTTTTCACTACTATAAATTACATTTTTTATGACGAAGTTTTCACCTCAAACAATAAAAAACTGAGGGTATGGGTCTAGGGAAAACCATGTTTTATTTTTAAAAAAATAATAATAATAATCATTAACATTGTTACAGATGGAAAATATTGTGGGAATTTATGTTATCATATGTGGGGCTCAGTTTAAGGGTTAAAAGATTAAAGTTGAATTCAATGAATATTCTTAATTTCTAATTATGGAGATAATTTAGGAAAGTAATGATTGAAGTCCTATTTTTGAGGAGATAAATTTGTAGCTTTATTTGCATGTCATGCTGCATTTTTAAAGCCCAAATTCAATCCAGAAGATTGATTTAAACAGACTGCTATAAATATAATTATTGTGTGGAACTTACATTGTATTTTTTAGGGTTTGTGTATGTTAATTGTGAGCCTCTCTAATATCATCTTGATATAAGAGTAGGCTTATTCTTTTGAGTTGTAAGTTTTGTCAATCATTCTTAAGCTTCTAAGCATTGAATGGTTGTGTGTCTTTGAAGTGTGACTTCCGTTATTTTCTAAGTGTTTAGAATTGTTCTTGTCACTGTTTGTAACTGAAAGGAAAGTGAGAGGGGTCTTATATATAGGTGTATCTTAGGTAGAAGTATAGTACGGGTAGTGATTAAGTGATAAGTTATAAACGGCGGAATTTAGCTTTGAATTGATACTATTTAGTGGATTTCCTTCATGGCTTGGTATCCCCCAAACATGGGTGTTATTGTACACCGAACTGGGTTAACAATTTTGTGTGTTCTTTACTTTTCTGTTCTGTTTTAATTGTTTTACCTTGTCATTATGTTTTTGTTCAAAGATCAGTATCTTGACATCTCTTAGGACATCTCAGATTTGACTACCAGAATTTCAATTGGTATCATAGCAGACATCCTACTTGGTATTTAAGTGAGACTCAGGGGAAGATACTTTCTGGTATAATGAACAGGGGAAGAGAGAAGATATCAGAAACTAAGCTGGTTAGAAAAATCCTCAGATCTCTTCCAAAGAGGTTTGACATGAAGGTGACTGTCATTGAAGAAGTCCATGATATCAACACTGTGAAAGTAGATGAACTTGTGGGATCTCTACAGACTTTTGAATTAGGGATAAATGAAAAGTCTTAAAAGAAGTTTAGCCTTTGTCTCAAGTACTAAAGACTCGAGAGATGAATGTGATTTAGATACAGATGAAGGGATATACAATGCTATTGTGGTGCTTGGAATACAATTCAAGAAAGTTGTAAAGAAGATAAACTGGAAGGCGATGTCAAATGTCAAGAACATGTCATTAGACATCAACAAAAACCAAGACTTTGGTAGAAGGTCCAGAAATGGTGACAAATCCAGCCAAGGAAGAGGGTTTCAGTGTCATGAAGGTGAAAGGTTTAGACACATAAGAGCTGAGTGTCCCACTTATCTCAAGAAGCAGAAGAAAAGGCATGTATGTGTCATGGTCAGAGGAAGCTTCTGAAAGTGATCATGAAGAGGAATCTTCCAAGCAAGTGACTGTCTTAACTGGAATTTGTGACTCTGATGAAGAACAGATGGTGGAGAACTTACTTTTGAGAAATATGCTACTTACAAAGAGTTATGTCTTAGAAGTAAAGAAGTGTGTCAACTGGGAGAAGAGTAAAAGAGAATTATTGTTCAACTACAGGCTGAGAAACCTGAGCACTTATCCATTATATCTTATCCGAAGGAGGAGGTTGTGTTGCTAAATTCAAAACTTGGCAATCTGACTAAATCTGTAAGAATGTTAAATAATGGCTCTATTGTTCTGGATGAGATTCTTCTAACTGGGAAGAATGTTGGAAATGTTAAAGGTATTGGTTATGATAATCAAGTTGTGAAGAATATAAGAGAAAGGCTCGAATTGAAGTTTGTACCTCTAAATAAGAAACAAGAGAAGAAGATGTTGAATCATATGTCTCAATATCAGCAGAGACATCAGAAGAAGCAAAATAGAGGTAGAAATTAACAATGAAAATGTGATGATTGTGGAACGCTTGGTCATTTAAAATTCTTCTGCTACAGGTTGTATGGTTATCCCAAACCTGTTACACATCATAGAAGACAACATGCTGATTTGAAGAAGATATATTATGAGGTGATGACTATGGAGGTCAGTGGTAACACTCTTAGAACATGTGACAAATTCAAGGAGTGCGGGAGGTTATTTGACAGGGAAAAAGGTGGAAGATCACCTGAAGATGATCAAGATTATTTTGTTCCCAATACTGTAGTGTGCTTATGTTGCTACTATTGATGGTGGTATGTGTGTGCATGATGTTTTACCAAATGTTATGACATCTTTCATGGTGTGTGGACTTGGGTAGTTCATATTGGTTTGATGTTTTAGATTTTCTTGTGTCTTGGGTTTTCCTCTTGAGTGGGAGAAATGATTGTATAAAATAAGGGGAGTAATGGTCATGTTTTTGTAACTGTATATTATCATCGACATATTATGTTTCCAGTTTTTATCTCTAGGATATGTGTGCACTTGATGTGTGTCTGTTGTTATGTGGTCTGACTTATGTGCTAGTATGCTATTGTGGTTGCTTTTGGTTAGTTACTTACCTTTGTCATATTATGGCTAAAAAGGGGGAGTAATGTATGTGTGTGATCTAACTACTGGCTGATTGTTGCTATTGAGGGAGATAATTTTATATTCACTAAAGTGTTATTTAGCAGGTTTTGAGGGGAAGTCCTTGTTCTGGATTGGACTATTGTGAAAAGTTATCAGACATGATGTCCTGACACGTTGAGAATTTATTTTTCTATTGGCTGTTGTGTTAAGTAGCTTCCATTAGCTGATACTCTGATATTTTTACTGCTCATGTCTATGATGAATTGATTTCTACTGATGTGCCTCTGATATGTGTGTGTGTTTGATTTATTTTTAAAACTATGTGGTTTTGTTGTCATCTGGATTGTGATGCTTATGTGCAAGGGTTGTGTAGTTGTTTTAGCCCAAATTTTCCAAAGTGGGAGATTGCTAATTCTCTATTTTTGTTGTAAGTGTTGGTTGGCAGCAATTTTAGTAAAACAATGTGTTGTTAATGTTTTACTAAATGTCTTGACATTTGTAGCAAACTATTTTAAATGATGTCAAAGCAGATGTCTTGACATCTTCCTTCTGAACTGAACTCAGCCAACATTAGTTTATGTTTTTCTATTTCCTGATTTCCTGCGCTCCATAATTCAAGATTTGGGACTCACAGGCTGCAAAAAATATGGAGGAATGTTTTTCAAAATGCATGGATTTTATCTTGACATGTTTTTATGAAAACATTCAAAAGAATTGAATATTTGGTTTTAAAGCCCAAGTCCACAGCTATGCATATATAAGGACTTGCTTCCTTATTCAAACGACTGCAAATTTTGAAGAAGAATATTTTCTTTTTGTTTTAGAAGTCCAAGTCTTTTAATTGTCAAACACTCTAGTATTAATTTAATACTTGTGTTGTTATTTGGATTGTTAATTGTGTATCATTCATAAGCTTTTAAGCATTGAATGGTTGAAGTTTTTAAACTTATTATTTATGTTGTTTCTTCACTGTAGTGATTGAAGGGATTTGAGGAGGGTCTCATACCTAGGTGAGTCTTAGGTAGAAGTATAGCACGGGTAGTG